CTCTCTCTCTGTGTGTGTGTTGTGTTATAGGATGGTGCCCACCTCTGTGGAGCGACTTAGAGAAGGACGTGGCATTTTGGAGAAGGTTTTACGTAGCAGTGCTAAAATATGTCAGCGAGGAGAACCCTCGCCCTCTCGAGATAGCATAGGGGAGAGAGAAGTAGGTAAGTGGGGATATATCAGAAAAGAGCCCTGAGACTGAATCTTCTTGGAAAGGCTGAAATTTCATTAGGACTCTGCCTATGGAGTCATAGTTCTCTGTGGTGCCACTTCCACATGAAATGTCCATTCCATCTGAAGTAGGCTAGTTTCTAAATGTACTAGACAGCTCTCTGTTACAGTAATCTCTGGGTCTGATTTCCTGTAAGAAAAGGAAGACTTTCCTGGAAGATACGGCCTGCAAAACCACCCATTGATTCGGTGAAAAACAATTTTCCACTCAGTAATCATAAAGATACCCCATGGTTGACCAGGATTGGCAGCCACTTATTCCCCATACAGTAGCAGGTCACAGATGCTCTATTTAAATAGGGAGCGAGCATCTTAGACACCCTAGTTTTAAAAGATTGTTTAAAAACCTCTAATGGCCCAATCACGGTTGGCACCACTATGAATGAAGGGTGGATTACCAACCACATATCTTTTTCCATGTTCCACCCCCATTGCATGGTCATGGGAAGAGAAACAAAGTGAGCTGCAAAGTAGAATTTATAAAGCAGTTTGTTTTCATCATTGTGAACTGCTCTAGAACTATTCCCCTTGTGCCTGTTGACATGACAGAGATGGCCAAGGGAAATTAATTTTGTTCTAGTATGCCTTCCCATTCCTCTATATGAATTTGACTGTTCCCATGATATCCAAATACTCTCCAGTACACCTCCACCCCCAGCCTATTGCTCAGGCCTTAGGTTTCTCGGGGTTGTACTTGGTCACAGGAACTCTTTCTCATCTTATTTCTATGAATGACACCATTGAATATTTGCTATGGTATTTTATTATTATTTTTAATTTAAGTAGTTTTTCTTACAATGAATGTTTTCATTGTATCATTATGTTTTTCCTTGTTGTGAATTGTCAAGA